TACTTACAGGTTGTTTTCAAGGAATTTGGAGACCCAAAATTTGATGTTACTTAAACATTTGGAAAAAAAGTTCTTTGGGTTCTTAAAATATGTTTGGGCCACTTAAAAATAATAATGCCATAGAAAAGAAAGAAAACACAAACTTGTGAAAATGTCTGGGGTGGCAACATGGTTTATGTTCCTTTTTCCTGGTTCTGCTACAGCAATCCATAAAACATGTCATTCAAAAGCTAAGCTTTTCAAAGGAACCTCCAGTTTGCTGCCCATAATCATTTACATGCACAACTCTAAATGCACAAGCATGTATGTATAAATGCACTTGTACATTTGTACATGTAGATGATATATGACTTCGCATACCATATTTTTGTACAAATTTGGGGAGGTTCTTCAGTAAAACTCCAAGGCAGTGAGTTCATGAAGAAGAGGTTTCCATGAGCACATCTTTACAAAGCACCTCTCCTTTTCCCCTCTTTCCACAGTTGTCTTGTGAGTGGCCTGTAAAAAGACCATGAGACCTGCCTAATTAGAGTGCTGTGCCATCTGCATGGAGACTCTAAGTCTTAGACTTGATTCTGCCCTTTAGCAGTAGTTTCCATTGGCTGTGACTGTACCTGAAGCATTTTGGAGAAAAGATAATATTTGTATTACCCTCTCTTCTAGTTGAATTCTGTGGGGATGGAGAAGAAAGAATCTGTCACCCCCCTTTGGCTCAGTCTTGGCCTGGCTACTCTTCACCACAGCACATCCACTCCATTATTTTAAACTCTGGACTCATGGAACATTAGCTGTAGGCCCTGGGGTACCAAGGATGGCACTGCAGAAGATGCTGAGCCTCTGTTATTTATGAGGTGATCTGCACAAGAAGGGTCTTCCTAATTCACAGACCTCAAGGTTGGGTTGAAGAGGGAGAAGAAGAGATGACCAGGGCCTTTACCTTTTGTGCACAGAACTGCCTTTGCAAGAGACTAAACTGCACAAAATCAAAAATAGGGTAAAGGCAATTTTGCCTAATGTAGCCCTATTGCAATGCTGCTTCCATATCCTATGCCCTAACAAAGCTGCCATAGCATATTGTAAATTAAGCAATTAGAAACCAAAGCATCAATGTTTAATTGCAATTTCATTTTTTAAGAAACTCAACAGAAAAGGATAAATTTTGTTAGTGGGAAATGAATTTCCAGGGTTTTCAGAAGGTGTTATAAAAAGTGTGCAATTGCTTAACATTAGCCTTTTAAATTATTTTGTATGAAGCAAAGCATTAGGAAAGGGACATTTTAAAGGCAGATTTACAACTGCTTAATGAATGGTAACTGAAGTTTTTCATTTTTAATTAAAGATCCATTCTTAATTGAAACATGTATTTTAACATTTTCACTCTGATGTGTGTATTTCAGAATTTCAATTCTGTAAAGGTAGAAAATAATGTGCAGAGAGTCTGTGCAGTGTTCAGATGCCTCTGGGTTAGGGCACTTTTGTAAATAAAATGTATTATTTACATGTAACGAATACCTATCGTTAGTGATTAATCTGGCAAATTGCCGAAGGGAGGAAGTTACTCAAAAACATCTCAAAATTGTGGGTTGAGATTAAAAATGTGTCATTGTATATTTAGCAAGTATTAATGCAAACTACAACATATATAGAGATGGGGAGGATGAAAGAAATGAAGTCCCACTTGGGCTAGACATGATTTTACTTTCAGAATTAGGGGACAGACGTTTTGGAAGGAGAAGATGCTTCTGCTGGCCTCCCTCTTTACAAATATTCACTGCCTGTCCCTGTCAAAATGCTTCCTTTTCAACACAAACTCCCTTATGCACAAGGATGCATTTACTCCTCAAATGGCAGCCCAGTGCCTCTGTTGCTAAATCCACCTCAGTAGGGGAAAATTTCTCTCTTTTCCTTCTAGATGATTCATTCATCCTACAGGCCAGACTGGTAAAGAGACAAGCTTGTTTGTAATGCCTGAACTGGGCAGTAGCCAGAGGCTGCTCCAGTTGCACAGCTGTGCCCTTGTTGCCTGTATCCAGGTCAGGCAGAGTATGCCAGTCTATCTGTTTTCTCTCCTGATGCACTAAATAACTGAGTAAGGAGAGATCTGTGTCCTTCCCTCCCCAGCCTGCCCTTCCTTGGTGTTTGAATGACTGGGAAATCCCTCAACCTTCCTATTGCGCTATGAGTAACATATAAACATGTTTCCTTTATACCTGTTCTCTCCTAGGGCTGGAAGTGAGCAGGATCAGGTGATTTTGCTGTTCCCAACACTTCCCAAGTAGCCCCAACAATTTCTGCAGAACTTATATAAAAATCATTAAGTCCTTAGCCTTTCTGACTGCATAGAAAACCATCCAAGTATGAGTCAGAGCCCTTCAGTCTGGTTGGAGCTGTTTATATTAGGCAAGTGCACTATTGCAAGGACAGTAATTACATTAAATTACTGGTTGCAAGACTTATCCTTGCAACTGATGAGCAGTATAGCTGGGCAGCGACTCTGTTCTTGAAACCTCTGAGTTGGAGTGCCTACGCTCAGTACACTCTAGACAGCATTACCAGTATTTTACAGCAGGGGTGTCAAATGTAGGGTCCATGAACCAGATATAGCCTGCAGTGCCATGTTTTCTGGCCTGGGGCTCTCATTGGGACTGGGAATTGGGGGGCAGGCTGAGCAGTGGTGGGGCCCACCACCAAAATTCCAGGTACAGAGCCCTGTTGGGGATGTGTCAGCAGTAAGGGAGTGAGTGACAGCTGCATTAGCACCTACTGCCTCTGTTGCTATGTCTAGATTCAGGCTACAAAAAGCCCTGGGGTTCAGATCCAGCCCACAACGAGGGGTTTGACATACCTGCTCTACAGCACTGCAGGAGGTAGCTGGTTGCAGTGCCTGTGTGTTCCTGTCATCATTTTTTTGGGTAAAATATAATGTACTATTGCAGGCGAATATGAGATAATGATTTGCTCTAAGGTGCTGCATCAAATCAATTGTTCTAACAGTTACACAAGTTGTATGGATATGTTTTTTAAAGGAGTTTGAGATGCTAGATATTACACCCAATAGTTTGTAGCAATGATGTTTTTCTAATGTAGGTGGGCCCCGTATGTCCGTAGCAGTTTCAATGTTTAAATCTGAGAGGTGTGAATTGTCCCTTTCATATTGACAGATTGTTAGATCTGAAACCTAATTATGTCTTTTCCCCATGTAAGATATTTAGAGATGTCTTGAATTTAGTCACTGAACACAATCAAATAAGAGGGGATGAAAACTCTGCTCTCCCCTTTCTAGAGAATTGTTTGCTGCCCTTCACTTGAGGTATGTTTTATTTTTTTAACAACCTGCTATTTGCTGGCTGACTTTTGCACAATGCTAGTTTTGTATTGGACAGTAGGGACAGTCATTCTAGAACACAGTTTCCAATACAGCAGTGATTCTCAGACCTTGGCTTCCAAGCCACAATGGAATTATCACCTGTCTCTTCACAGAAAATTTTATCAATTTATATTGGGTTTTCATTTGTTTTCACATACACTGGTCATGTCTTTTCTGAAATCATCAGTAATGTAATATATGTGCCATTTATCTCTGGTGGACTGTACAAATGTTAACTGATGTGTCAGCTTGCTTTTTGAACTGGAGTGTACTTGATGTGTTTCACTTAGAGGTGTGTACAGGGTTCCCTCGCTTCATGCTGTATATTTGTTCCTGGAAAGTGGCGCATAACTTGAATTCACATAAAGGGAACCCACTTTACAAAGCAACAAATAGGGATACGTTCCAAGACCTCGACTGTACTGACCCCCAGGCCCATTTCTACCACTTTTACAAGACAATTTTGGTGCTCGTCAACACCAGACAGTACACATAAGCACTATCATAGTGGGGATGGCAACTACAGAAACATGTTGCAGTCAACAACGGAGGAGCACAGATCCACACAGGAGGCTGTATTTTGGTGTGCGTCATTCCCACAATGCACTGCACAAAGTAGCTGAGCACGGGGGGACTGGACCCGATGATCTACAAGGTCCCTGCCAGCCCCTGCCAATCTATGAATCCACGATGGTAATCCAGTGCAGATCATTTCAGAGGCAACATCCATCCAACATACTCCTCTACCTCTAATTTCCAGTTACAAAGCCTGGTAAGCATCATTTATATTAGCTATAAAGTGTATTTCAGTGGCATCTATACCCTTGCCTTATCTGACCTTGAGATCCCAGTGTTGTAGGCTCAGTCCACAGCCATACTCCAGCAAGAGGCAGGCTCTCCCTTGACCGCCACGGGGCTGACAAAGAGGGGAAGTAAGGCAAAGCCAACTGCTGGAGGTCACACAGCAGTCCTGACCTAATGCTCCTCACTCCTGACCCAGTGTGTGGGCGGGGGGGATGTGTTGGGGGCACGGGAGCCCCAAGCAGCTCCTTACAGGCTGGAGCTCTGCCAGCCTGCAAGGGAAACGCCTCAGCCCCCCCATTTTTCTCCTTGAAAGGAGAATCCGGTTTTAAAGTTTGGTGGCCCATCTTTAAGTGCGTTCGCGACCCCTTCACAAATCCTTGCGACCCACTGTTGGGCCTTATGCCGCGTAGTCTCTCAGCTCCGCTCCCGGGCGCGAGGTGCCTGGCGGGCCTGGGGCTCCTTCCCCTGCTGTGCGCCGCCCCGCGCGCTCCTGGCAGGGGCCGTCCCCGCGGCAGCCCCGCTCCACGTCAGGACGCCACCTCCTTGCTGCGGGAAACACTGGAGGAAGCCACCTCAGGTTGGGGGGCCGAGGGCAGCAGGAGAGACCTGCAGCAGGGCGGGAGAGGGAGGGGTCAGCTCAGGCGCTCCCCGCTCTCGCTCTACCTTTCCCTCCCCCGACCGCCCCT